ATTGCAGAGTGTTTAGTGTTCCCATTTCTACTTGGCCTTTGACTTACTTGGGGCTTCTTGTGGGGTCAAATCCGAGAGAGTAGTTTTTGGTGCCTAATTGTAAAGAAGTTTGAAAACAAATTGGAAAATTGAAAGAAGAATTACATTTCCTTGGGGGTCCTTGATTAGAGCTACATTTGCTAGCTTACCAACCTATTTCTTGTCAGTCCTTAGGATCCCACCTAGGGAAGAAAAGAAGTTGAAGAAGCTAATGAGAGATTTTCTTTGGGAAGTAGGGGAGAATAAGAAAGATCATCTAATCAGGTGGAAAGTGGTTTGTCAGAGCAAAGGGAGGGGGTTTGGGCTTGGGGAACTTAATTCAAAAGAATACAACTTTGTTGGGGAAGTGGCTCTAGAGGTGGCCTCTAGAGCGAGAAGTGTTATGGCATGTAGGAAGCATTTTGGTTGTTTAGAGACTGGGTGGGATGTGGGTGTATCTCAACAAACAACCTTGGCAACTCCTTGGAATTAGTTTCTCAACTTTGTTAGGTATGATGTTTGCATTGGAAAGTCATTTCTTTTATGTGAGGACCTTTGGGTTGGTGACTTACCTTTGAAAGACCTTTTTCACTTCTTTGTTCTCTATCTCTAATACAAGAGAAATGTTATTTCTTTTTTCTACTCCTCTTCGGAAAATCCCTTGGCACCAAAATTGGGATTTTGGCTTTTGTAGAAGTTTAAGGGACGGGGAAATGTTACCTTTGAATAACAGTTTGCTTAGATCACTCTAGACCAGATAAACGGGTTTGGACGCCACAGCCTAAAGGGTCTTTTTCTTGTTCTTCTTTTTTTAGGTCTCTTTGTCAATCTCCCCCCCCCAACAGTTTTTTCCTGTCAAGGATGATGTTTGGTGCAGGCCTACTCCCCCTAAGGTTTTGGCATTTTGTTGGAAAGTGTTTCACGGAAAAATAAACACCTTGGATAATTTACAGAAGAGAAGACCCTTCCTTTGTCTCTCCCCTAACTAGTGCATCATTTGTAGGTCCCATGGTGAAATTGCTACTATTTACTAATTTCTCGTTCTTTCACTATAGAGTTGTGGAATTGGCTCTTTTTATTGTTTGGAATGTAGGTGGAACAAGCTGCTGAAGTAAGCATGCTTTTGATCCTTGCCAAAAGAGGAAGGTTAAAGTAAGGTGTACAAGAGTAGCATTGATTTGGATTGTTTGGGGAGAGAGAAATGCTAGAGTTTTTCAATAGGAGAGGAATTTACAATATCTAATGGAATGCATCTTGAATAGGACTATCCAATGGTTGAAATCCTTGAAACTATTCTTTAATTTCTCCTTTTATGACTTTGTGGAGAAATTGGGATGCAGTGGCAAGTAGTTCTTCCCTAAATGCTAGAGCAAGTGTAAGATGGGTAACTCCTGTAAGGTTTTGAAGCAACTTTGATGGAAGTAGTCAAGGCAACCCAAGTCCTTCTGGATTGGGAGGGGTTATAAGGGGTGAGGATGGAAATGTGGTACTTCTTTTCTTGGACCCCTAGGTATTAAGGACTCCACTAGGGCAGAGTTGTTAGTTGCAATTCAATGTGTATAATTTGCTATTCAATTAGGAGTGGTACAACTGTTAATTTAAGGAGATTCCAAGGTGGTAGTAGGTTGGCTATAGAATCCCAGAGTCTACAATGTGGTGTTATAAGAATGAAGCCAAGAGGTTCAAATGGTTAATAAGGGATATGATAATAAGGGTGCAATGGGTTGGGAGGTTAACCAATGCTATGGCTGACCATGTAGCCAAGCAAGGGTGCTAGGGACTAGTTGTATTGGGCACATTTGTATCTTGATTTTTGCCTTGGAGAGGGGCAAAGTTACTGTTCATCATCTTCTTATTATAGGTTATTTATCAGAGTCGCTCGTCATCGCCTATGGCACGCCTCCGCCCACCTCCGCTTCCGGAAGTGGGCAGCAGCGGCACTGGTCATTTTAAGAAGTTTTATCACGTAAACAACAGATCATGCAAGCAATTGTTACCTTCTTTCTCCTCACCAAGTGCAGAACTTTTATCATTCGATCTTTCGACGTTGGCCCTCTGTTTTGATACTTCACCTTTTTTTGGTTCTTCTGGTTTATTTGGCTCCGTATTGACTAACTGAGCAGAAGTGTTCGCGTCATGGTGATGGGTTTCAAAATTCACCTTATGACTCTCCTTTAATTTTCAGCCCTATGCCCCTGGATCCAACACCCTGTGGACCATTCTTCTTGAAATCCTTCTCTGTAATCTTCATTTGATTGAAATATTTCTGCTGCCTCCTCTATGCCGCCTGTTGTAACTTTTCCCCCTTTTATATTATTTTAAAAAAAGTTAATTTCTTTTTAAARTTTTGTTAAATTTATTACTTTTATTGATATTAAGGCCTAAAAATTGCCCTTATATACTATAATCCCAAACAAATTCCATAGAACAACAAAGAAACCAAAAGGAAATTCCACGGAACATGAGATAGAAGTTTAAGCATGAAAGAATGACATGAAAAGCAATGCAAAGCCAAAGTACCTAGGAAGTTTAAGCAAGCGTAGATGTCGTCTGTCTACGCTTTGGTCGACCGGGTCCGGTCCTTGCGGTTTGGTTCGGTTTAATTAATCTCTATTGGGGCATTAGCAGATTGGCATCTCGATCTCGCCGCCAAAACATGGGGTATGTAATTGTAATGATAAAATGAAGGTCATTTACTTAGATACCCCTAAATTCGCATAACTACTAAAACACCCCATTTAATGTTCATATTACCAAGACGCCCCTTTTAGTATGCAACAGTATTAATTTATTACTGTTTTCTTAAACAGAGAAATAAAATGCATTTTAACCCCATTTTAAACTACCTCAGAATTCTGATTTACACCCCCACCTAGTCTACTAATAGGCTCTCCCTTGTAAACCACATCCTGCCCATAAATTTGGTATTAATCCACCCACAGATTCAAAATCATAACATATCTTTCTTTTAATGTACTTTACGTGGAAGTTGCTAAACTTTGTCAAAACTTAGTTTTATATCATTTTTTGACATTGAGAAACAAGAAACTATCGTATCCCGATGGTCAAGACTCGAGAGTGAGATCCCAAAAACCGTTCATCAACAAAGGTCCAAACTTTCTTGACGACATCCTCTTGTAGAGACAAGTACCCTTTCTTCTATTGGCCCTTTTTTTGATAACCCTTTTACTTGACGATGGCTTTCGAAATATGAACTCATTAAGATCAGGATTATACAAGAACCTATTAATTTACTTCATTGTTAGGGTGTTTTTAGAATAAAAATAATGTACAATGCCCTTCTGAATTATTATTTCCTAAACTTTGAATGTAGAGAATATTGTTTTGAATTCTGAATTTTGAATTCTGAAAATTATTAAATATTTATTTTGATCCTATATATGATGTTTATCTTTTKGGGRTATCATTGAAAAACAAAAAATTGTATGATTGCATTTTAAGAGATAAGAGATAAGAAATAATAGAAAACAAATAACCAATTTTCTCTTAAAATTAAAAGACTCTTCTTAAGAGATAAGAGTTAAGAGGAAATGAATAGGCCCTAAGAGGTAAGATGATCATTTTTAGACGGAATTGGAGATGGTAGCTACATGGTTTTTAAAACCGAACTGGTCAAGGCACCGTTTTCCAGTTCGGCGGTTCAATCGTCTGGGTCGAGCAGTTTGACCCGTGACATCATAAATAAATAAAAAACAAAAAATACTTATATATAATAAAAAGTAACATAGAATTTTAAATAAAATACAAAAAAATACACAGAAAAATATAGGAAAAAGAACAACATATGAAAAAAATAAAAATATCTAAATATAAATATAATAAAATACAGAAAATACAAAAATAGGGAAATTTTCCAAAAAATATAGAAAATGTTCCAAAAATTATAGAAAAAATATGTAATGAGCACCTATTTTTTTTAGAAGAAAAAAGCATATCAATTCAGAAAAAATTATCCGAACATATTTTGAGAAGAAAACATAAATTTCATATCAAAACATATTTTGTGAAGGAAAAAAAGAAAGAAAATTGATTGATTTAGTTGAATCAAGAGCTCCCTCATCAATTAATAAAAATAAGGATTAAGGAGTTAAGTGTCCAATTTAGAGTCATTTTCTTTCAATCTCAGGTTGTCTATGGAAATCCTACCAAAGAAAAAAAATCTCTAGAAAAATTAATTCATGCTTACTAAACAAGCATATATATTATCATTCTAGCAGGTCCAAAGAATTAAAAAAATCAATTAAATCACAAAAAATATCAGAAAAAATTATACCTTCGGGGATTTGCCGCCAATGGGCTCGGGCAGTCTGTCGTTGCAAGTCACCGCTGCTACAAGTTGCTTGACATCTGCCGCTACAAGTCGTCGTTGCTGCAAGTCGCTCATTGTTTGCCGCTACAAGTGCTTGGTGACTCTCTTCTTCGCTGCAAGTTTACCGGTCACCATCAGTGTGTGTCATCGTTGGATGTCGGAGTTGATGGCCGCTGCAGGTGGTAGGGTGTGAGGGTTGAGACTTGAGAGGACTGAGGAGTGAGGAGGGAACTCGGGAACCCTAAAGGCTAAACCGAATAAGGGACTGGGGATTGGGATTCGAAAATCGTGGGATATAATTGGCATTTTATCCTTTGTTTTTTTATTTAAAACATTAAAAATAAAAATATTAACCCGCGAACCGTTGCTCGGGTCGAACGGTTTAGCGGTCCGAGCACCCAGGTCAGCAGTTTTTTTTACTTTTCAACATTTTTTTTTCAATTTTCTGGTTTATAGTAAAACCGGACCCAAATGGCTGACCGTTACCGGTTTCCCGGTCCGACCGTCCGGTCCGGTCCGGTTTTGAAAACCATGGGTGGCTAAACCATGAGGGGTGTTTCAGTGATGCACAAACTATTGGGGGTGTTCAGTAGTTATGTTAAACTAGAGGTGTTTTAAGTAAATGACTCTAAAATGAACAAAGATAGCGAGAGAGAGAGGGGGGGCTCTAGTAAAAGTTATAGGCGGTATCCCCAAATTTTCCGGACCCTTCCATCATCTGCTTTTCCCCTCCTGCAAGCAGCCAAGCGATCTTCTCCCACGTTCGACGACGACGACACCATGAAACGCTCGGTCGATGACCTCGGCGTCACTGCCGCAACCAATATCAAAAAACCCGTCTTCCTCACCAAAGCTCAACGCGAACAATTAGCCCTTCAACGCCGCGAGGAAGAAGTAACCGAGCAAAAGCGACGGGCCGAACAACTACTCCAACAGCAGCAGCAGCAGCAGCAACAACAGAACCGCTCTAGGAAATCTTCCGACCACTCTCCTAGCCGCGACAGCCGCCAACACCGCTCCCGCGACCGCGACCGCGACCGCAACCGAGATCGTGACCGCGAACGTGAACGTGAACGCGAACGGGAGTCCGAGCGTCGCAACCGCGAGCGTGAACGCGAGGAAGATAACAAATCCCGTGAACGAGCACGAATAGAAAAGCAGGCTGAAAGAGAACGAGAGAAGGAACTCGAATCTATTAAAGAACAGTATCTGGGCACCAAAAAACCTAAGAAGCGGGTTATCAAGCCAAGCGAGAAGTTTCGATTTTCATTCGATTGGGAGAACACCGAGGACACCTCCCGCGACATGAATATTCTTTACCAAAACCCTCACGAGGCTCAGCTATTGTTTGGCAGAGGGTTTCGCGCCGGCATGGACCGTCGTGAGCAGAAAAAGCTTGCTGCGAAGAATGAGAAAGAAATGCGAGATGAAATACGAAGAAAGGAGGGTCTGGAGGAGAAACCGGAGGAGGCCGCTGCGCAGCGTCTAAAAGAAGAGGCCGCAGATCTATATGATACTTTTGATATGAGGGTCGATCGGCACTGGTCGGAGAAGAAGCTCGACGAGATGACCGAGAGGGATTGGAGAATTTTCAGGGAAGATTTCAATATTTCGTATAAGGGGTCAAAGTTACCTCGTCCTATGCGGAATTGGGAAGAGAGCGGATTGACTCTCGAACTCTTGAAGGCGGTGAAGAAGGCAGGCTACAAGATGCCATCTCCGATCCAGATGGCTGCCATTCCGCTTGGTCTGCAACAGCGCGATGTTATTGGCATTGCAGAGACAGGTTCGGGTAAGACTGCTGCATTTGTTCTTCCTATGTTGACTTACATTTCTAGACTTCCCCCTATGAACGAAGAGAATGAGGCAGAAGGGCCCTATGCTGTTGTCATGGCACCCACTAGGGAACTTGCGCAACAGATTGAAGATGAAACTGTGAAATTTGCGCATTACTTGGGTATTAAAGTGGTCTCTATTGTTGGTGGACAGTCAATTGAAGAGCAGGGTTTTAAAATCAGGCAGGGATGTGAGGTTGTAATTGCAACACCGGGGCGTCTGATTGACTGTTTGGAGAGGCGATATGCTGTTCTTAACCAGTGTAACTACGTAGTCCTTGATGAGGCTGACAGAATGATCGATATGGGTTTTGAGCCACAAGTTGTGGGCGTCTTGGATGCAATGCCTTCTAGCAACCTAAAACCGGAGAATGAAGATGAAGAACTAGATGAGAAGCGAATTTACCGGACTACGTACATGTTCAGTGCGACAATGCCCCCGGCTGTGGAGCGTCTTGCAAGGAAGTACTTAAGGAACCCTGTTGTGGTCACCATTGGTACTGCTGGAAAGGCTACTGAGCTCATTACTCAGCATGTGATCATGCTGAAGGAATCGGAAAAAATGCCAAGGTTGCGTAAGTTATTAAATGACCTTGGAGATAAGACAGCAATTGTGTTCATTAATACTAAGAAATCTGCTGATACACTTGCCAAGACTTTGGATAAGGAGGGTTATCGTGTAACCACATTGCATGGAGGGAAATCACAAGAACAGCGTGAGATCAGCCTTGAAGGATTTAGGACAAAGCGGTTTAATGTTCTTGTTGCCACAGATGTAGCAGGGCGTGGAATTGATATACCTGATGTGGCTCATGTTATAAATTATGATATGCCAGGGAACATTGAAATGTACACACATCGCATTGGACGGACAGGGCGTGCAGGGAAGACTGGTGTGGCGACAACATTCCTGACACTGCATGACACTGATGTGTTCTATGATCTGAAGCAGATGCTTGTTCAGAGCAACAGCCCTGTTCCTCCTGAGCTAGCAAGACATGAGGCTTCAAAATTTAAGCCAGGAACAATTCCTGACAGACCACCTAGACGGAATGACACTGTTTTTGCTCATTGAGGGTTTTGGGTTTTAGAAGACTCTTCTTGTTGATGGCCCAGCCTAGAATGCTGTATTTGATCCCATTTTACTTGCTTGGACTTGATGATGCCTATTCTGATTACTGTTACATAATCAGGAAAAAAAATTTGCTTTTTGATGGGAAGATAGGTATCCAGGGTGTGAAATTCTGAGATCTGAAGGTACATTGTTTCTTCAAAAGAAAAGTTTAGTGTTTTTTTTTTTTTTTCTTGTTTTCTTCTGATGAAGAACATTTCCTGTTGCAGTGATCCATATAACCTAGTCAGATGTCATTTACTGTGTTTTTTAACCAGTTATTTTGTTTTTTTTTTTTCTTTCACTTGGGCAGTTCTCTCTTTTTGCTTTTGCTGATTTTGATTGGAAGTTAAACGTTTTTTACTTGTTATATACTGTTTTTTATGGTTTGTCTGGATTTAAAATTCCAATGATCCTTTTATACCCATCACTTTAGAATAACTTGATTCTTTGTTTGGTTTGTGACTAATTTCATCCCATACATTATCATGGTTCTTTGTCTAGTATCAGCTCCTTTTGAAGTTTGAATTGCAAGAATATAGAAAATCTTGTGTTATTACACAAACTAAAGTTATAGGACTTGTTAACATTTGTTATTCTTTTTGTGGCTCTTTTAAATCATTACTCACTGGAAAATGTCTTAATCTAACTATGACAGAACAAGATTTTGTCTTTAATGGAATATGAATTAGGTCCAGCAATGCATTTAGATAATGATATACACTCATATATTTCCTTTCCCTTATGGTATAATAATCAAGTCAGAACATGGAAAAGTCATAGACATGACAGACACTGAATCATCACTATACGAACCTTAGTTCTACTAACTAGTATAGCACTCCATCAAGTGCTATATATTCTGCCTGGTTTCAAAACCACACATCTTTGGACTTGTCCTTCATCTTTTAGAGCCTTAGACTAGCATCAAGTAACTTTTTTTCTGCTTCTGTATTCATTGGTCATCCATTCACAAAATTAAAGCATTTCAGGAAGCTTCTTCTCACTGCTTGATCTGTATTATGGATACTTCTGCCTCTCCCCAGCCAGTTTCTAATTATATGTTTCCTAGTCTTGCTACACATTTATTTTACATCGTCCTTGTCATTTATTTTTTTTTTGGATTGTTAACAAATAGTCTTCATTGATCATGAAGAGAGAATGTTATATAGAAAACATGTAGTTTTTGGTTAGGCTGGCATTTCACCACCTAACCCTCCTTTTGCTTTACATTGCTGCTTACAAATATTTTTCATTTGTTTTTTTTTTTGAAAGTAAAATAAACAATTTTATCAAAAGAAAAAAAATACACAAAAGTTGACCCAAAGAGCTACCCCAACAAACATAAACACCAAACATAAAAAAACATGATTATAAACAGTCAAACCAAACCCAGACAACCAGCTCAAAACAACACTCCTGAACTCATCTAACAAACCACTTGACCAACCCCAAAAAAAACCTCACTGGACTCCGTAACAACCAATAGAAAGCCACAACGGATGAGAGCTGAATCCCAATTCAAACCCAATCCGAACTCTGTGGCCATGTTCTTTGAGTTTTATATTTAGCCAACCAATTACCGTCTTTGAATCTTCTTCTACCACTATATTCTTCATATTCAGCTTCCTTTGCATTTCCAATCCATAAAAAACTACTTGCAGCTTAGCTCTTGTAGAATCCCATACATCAATGGTCCTGGAAATAATGCTAATATAGCTCCATGGCTATCTCTAAAAACAATTTCAATGTCCAAGCTATTGATTTCCTGGAGCACCACCTCTCAGCAAAATGCCCTTTTCTTTTTTTTTTTTTTTGGGGGGGGGGTACAGGGCTACACCAAACTTCCTTTGTTGGAAATGATCCTACCAGGTTCTCGTTGGGCAATCTAGGATGAGCAGGTTATAGGGCGAGTATTTAGAAATAACCAAGGAGTGGTAGTGGCCTTGTTTTCAGGACCGAATGGCTTTGGAGACTCAGTTCAGGCTGAAACATTGGCTCTCTTACAAGGAATGAGACTTGCAGTACAGCTTGGAGTTAGATAATTGGAAGTTAGAGGACACAATTAGTCATATCATGGACTAAGAAAGTCAATTCAGCCCCTTGGAAATACGGACATGCTTTCAGGGAAATTGATCTCCTAGCAAAGAGATTTAACTCTAATTTTAGATGGGTAAGAAGGACTGCGAATGGGATGACAGATGTGTTAGCAAAACAAGGGGTTGAGAGGCCTCTTTTGTTTTGGCTACATTGTAACCTGATGTAATTTGGGATGGTGGATTGCTTTATTAACTGTATGAAGTTCTTAATATATTAATGAAATCTTTTTGCTGATCAAAAAACAAAAGAAAAGATCCTACCAGGTTGGAAGTTTGAAGAAGAGCAAGGTAGGAAGAACAAGTACAAAAGATAGAAGGGGAAACTGGCTAAATTCTGTTATCCAAACAAGACTGATCAAGTAGAGAAAGTATTGAAAAATGGAAAAGCAGAAAACTTACCTAAGATGTCACATCTTAAATGCTTAATCAGTATGTTTTTCAACTTTCAACCAATATGATTCATGCAGAAATAATGCATAGTCAGGTGTTTTGCATTCTTGATTCATGGTGAAACAATCAGTTGTTGAAACACATACTACAGAAAAAAAAATCTGGCGTTTCAACTTTCAACAAAGACTGGTCCAAGAACACCATTCAGAAATAATGCATAATTAGGTGTTTCAACAATAATCAGTTGTTGAAACACATTCTAAGCGTCTAAGCAGAAGGTGTTTATCTCAAGCCACCATTCTGATGTGGCACATTGAAAGACGGAAAAGCAGAAAACTTATCCAAGATGCCACATCTTAAATAATATGATTCATGCAGAAATAATGCATAATCAGGGGTTTTATATTCCTGATTCATGGTAAAACAGTCAGTTGTTGAATGCATCTTGTCTAAACACCCTCATAAGTTGATCTAAGATGTCACATCTTAAATTCTTGATTAGTTTGTGTTTGATCTTTCAACCAATATGATTCATGCAGTAATAATGCATAATCAGGGGTTTTATATTCCTGATTCATGGTGAAACAATCAGTTGTTGAATGCATCTTATCTAAACATCCTTATAATATGTCAGATGAACCTTTGCATTTCAACTTCAACCACCCTATTTTCATTGGGATGGTTGAGTCAAGGTAATCGAAATAGCTATTTGGAATATTTCTTAGTCCTCTTTCCTAACTGCACAGGCACTGCTCCTACTATTTCTATTAGAATTGGAATACATATATTCTTAGTGTGGCTTATCTTTACCACATTTTTTTTTCTAAAGCATCTCTCTGTCACTCTAGCTTTGCCTGGTAAATTTATATTCTTAATCTACTGGCCTCTTTCTTTTAAAAGCCTGGTAAATTTATAGATAATTAATACAAAAAGATATGATTTAGTCATATCTCCATTATGAAAGAGCCTTGGCATATTGGAATATTACCATTGGAGTTTTCTTATATTTTTGAATGCTAGCCATCTGTTACTCTTCCAATTCTTTAATTTTAGAACCCAATTTGATAAATTTCATTGGTGGTGCTACTTATCAAAAAAAAGAAAATCACTGGTGGTGCTTTTGTACTTTGCAGGAAAGTTGTCCACAAGTGCTAGTAGTTGAGAATAAGATGAACTTGAGTAGTTGTAATGTTGCATGAATACAAATATGGGAGTTGAGTATTTTTGAGCATGTTAGGAGGTATTTATTTAATCTTTGACAAGGATCAAAGAAGTTCTGTTGATTCATAATAACATACAATCAACTGGTCCGACTGCATGAAGCTGGTGCATAATAATGCAAAGAACAAACTATAACTCAAGAAAGCATCTCTGGTCTGGTGCCCTCAATTTTAAAGCTGCTCTTCTCACTCTTTTTTCCTTTCTAGCGAATCAGCTGTCATTGGCCAAAACCTTACCTGAGTTTACCTGAGTGAACTATTAAGCCTGTAAGCCAAAACCTTAAGGGCCATTTGATAACAGCTGAAGTGGCCAAACTGAATGACATTTACTTTGTCTGTAAATGAACAAGTTATTTGGTGGGTCGTAAAAGGCTGGGATATATCATGCACTTCTACAAGGACTATAAGGTAGTTTTGGGATGGCTGGAGTACAAAAATGAGGGTTCCTGGAGACTTTGGCAGCTGATCAGAGAAGTCATTGCTTCGGCATTCAATCTGAATTGCTCATTCAGGTAGGCTCCTTGATCAGCTAATTCAATAGCTGATACTTTGCCTAAGATTGGATTGACTAGGAAACAGTTTCAATGGGGAATACCAGGTCCTGGCATTGCTGTAAATCCGAATTAAGGCCTCCTTTTACACCACAGGAGGGGGGAATACCACTTATCTAGCTAGCATTTTTTGACAAGGGGACATGGGTAAATATGTTTCCAACAAAAGAACTGCCTAAATGCAAACTCTTTCCTTGGCTTGTCAGTTTCATGTTGCTTGTGCAGTTTCTTTGTATCCTTCTGGGTATATTGATTTTCTGAATTATTCAAATTATTGTTATTGATAAAAAATATAAAATTGACAATGAGATAGATGTCTTGTAAGTTCCAACACTAATATGCATAGGGAATGACATTTTTTTGATAAATTATAAAGAAGTATTTGTATTACTATAACTGAGGGTGAGAGACAATGAGATATAGGATCAAAAAATAATAGAATGCTACTGATCTCTAATATTTGACAACTGAACCCCAACAAAAAGTAGTAGTCCCTGTCCATCTCATCAGGAACCACTGTATTTTACCAATGATGGTTTCTACCAGCAAAGGTTTCCCTTCCAAGACCCTACAAAATCTTTCCCTCCAAACTGCCCAACAAACAGCAAGAGGGAGAACATTCCATTGGAGTTTCACTTTAGCAGAGAAGGCAGCAGCTCTCCATGATGAAAGCAGCCATTAGAGGAAGGAACAGCCCATTGATATTGAAAGAGCTTGATGAAATAGCACTAGATCAGGTAGGGAAATGGCAATGAATCAACATATAATTTACAGATTTATTCATGCTGCTTGATAATTTCAGAATGTTCTCTGTGAAATTTTTTGATGGTGGAATGAGGTATGCAAGGGTTAAGGCCTTGAGCCTAGGATTTTAGGAGAAGTGCTTGTGCTTGTGCTTGTGCTTGTGCTTGTCCGCATTTCCCTTCACAATGGAATACAGTAGTTATCTCTCCCATAGATGTAGGTGGTTTTGCCAAACCTTGTAATTGATGTTTTTTTCTGTTTTTGTTTTATTTTTTCCATTCTATCTTTGTTATTTTTTCCCATAGATCTGCATTGTGTTTTAGTTAAGAGATCTGCAGGTGGCTTCAGTTGTAGTAATGGATGTGGAT